TGTGCGTCTCGATGCGCTGGAGCGATGTGTGAACAACGGGAAAGCCCTGGCCAATGCACAAGCAGAAGCAAAAACTTCAGACCGCTCACAGACCATCTGAAACATCAGCCAGAAAACAAACAAGTCAGGTAACAGCAGGGACGTTGGGAGAATGCATTTAAAAAGATTCATTACCTTTGTTGGTTAGTATTATAGCATAAGATAATGCACTACTGGCAAAAAGCAGAAGAACTGACGTATGAACAGAGACATGCTCTTACGTCACACCCTGCATGGATGGGCAGCAGTGCAAACAGCAGCACACTGAAATAACTGGTTCAGTTCATTTCCCAGATGGAAAACAATCACAATACTGGACATGACTGTGCAAGAATTAGCAGTCCTTCTAATGGATCTGGACTGTCTTAATTATACTTGTCTAATTAACACAGGTCAGCCTACAAAAAAACAAGGGAACTATCAGCGTGCGTTTGAAACGAAGTGAGTGATTATATGAAAATGCAGTTAATATTAACCCAAAGCTTTCTAACATAGAATGTTTTTCTGAAGTTCATTACAGAGATTACCAGTGGAAAGCAGCTTTAGTTAAGTATCTCTGAATTTAACCATAAGGGAAAAATATAGGCAGAGTTATAACTCCTGAAAATAAATGGAGTTTAAAATGGAGATTTAAAATTAGACACTGACTACATGAGCTTTCTCTATTAAGCTGGAACTCTGGATCTGGAAAAATTAGAAAAAAATAACAAATTCATTGGACCAGAACAGTGCAAGAACTTTTCCTGCACACGACTTGTGCTGAAGCATTAGCATGCATTGAGACTTTTAAACCTCAGCCCCTTAAATGGGTTATGTGATGCAGACACTCTGCACTCGCTGCGGCGCTCATGTTAACTTTCTAAAGCACAATACACACCATGTGCTAATGTCTTAAATCCTAGTTTGGAAAAATCTACTACTGCTTCCCTTTGCATGAACATTACTGGTTGAAAACATTCCACACGTTTTCAACTTTAATTCCTTTCAACTGCGTGAGCACACAGAAGCTATTACACTTAGGTCTCGTTTATGTCCCAGTGCAAAACCATTTATAAATGCTGGTATAATTACAGAGATAAAACTCGCCCACCTCCAGTCTCCTCGGATACAGCTAAAATCCTGAGAAGCCGACAAAACAGTTTACCAGTCACGTCACCAGCAGCACCCGCAAGCTGCCACTTACCACAATGCATCTGTTGACACCTCCTGGGAGGCAGTTCCTAACCAGGCGGGTGATGAACTGAGCTGCAGACGGGCTGTTGTGCCGGCTGACCCGGGATGGCAGCGCAGCCACGGTGGCGTAGTTCAGGTAGAGCGGGCAGCTGTCAGTGGGGTTTGGGTTCAGGGTGCCTAACGCAGACTGCCAGAGCTGAGGAGAAAAGAAGAAATTGAAACCAAGAACCGTAACAGAATTTTCTTTCTGACTCCAGTCTCATTCTGACTCCATTTAGGCAATCTTGGATGGTAGGACTTCGGGTGTTGGAAACAAAGACTTTAGGCAAGCCCTTTTAAATGCAACAACCTCTAGAGCGAAGAGATGGGAAATATGGTGGACCTTTATTTATTAGAAAGCTGTATGTGCCTTCCGTTACATGGATCTCTTCTAAGCAAAATGAACTACAATTTAAAAACGCAGCACTAAGTGCTAAGGCTGCTCCAGAGGCTCTTAAGTTGAGGCCATCTCATTAGCAATAAACAGAGGGACTGATTTACTAATCCCAAGTCATTCTTTCACACAGAAACTTAATTGAAAACAACAACAACAACAAAAAGAAGGCTAAATATTGCCATAAAACGCTCAGGAGCCCAACAAATGAAACCGCCAAGCATCGAGCATCCTAAAGGCTGTGATGCAAAATATTCCTCGTTTCACCGCAATCCATCAAAACCCTCTACATCAAAACAGGTCCACAAATTCCAGAGCAAGAGCTGAAGGCTGGGAGGGGGAAACAGACGACGCAGCTCTCAGCCCTCGCAGCTCAGCCTCCAGCTTGCCACATAACGCGCGTTTCATCATTGCGTTAATTGCAGCCACCGCGCTGTCATCGCGGAGCAGCGCTTTCCGCCGTCAGAGCGTCTGAAGGGAAGCGGAGCGCCGGGTTTGAGGCGCAGCGCTCCGCCCGCGACTGCCGGCCCCCAGCGGGCTCCGGCGGCCCGTGGCGGCCCTGCCGCTCCAGCGGACACCGCGCCTTTTGCTTCTGATTTCTCAGAAGCTCGAGACGTAACGCCGCGGCCCTTCCCGCTGCCCAGGGCGGGTTTCCCGTGCAGGCCCCTTCCCTCCCCGGCCGCTCCCGGCCCCGGGCGGCTCCGAACCCTCCGAACCCGACTCCGTGCCACCCCGAGGCCGCGCGGCGCCGGGCCGGGTGATCCGCGGCCCCGGGAGGAACCGCGGCCCGCGGGGCTCCGGCGTTCCGGCCTCACCTCCTCGCTGACCCGCGGCTGCAGCTTGCCCCGCAGCTGAGCCCAGGGCAGGCGGTGCAGGTTGTGGAGCTGGCCCAGGACGAGCAGCGGGCGGCTCTGCGGGTCCGCCTCGCCGGCGTTCGCCTGGAACTCCAGCTGCACGTTCGCCATCTTCCTGCCCGCGGCCCGGCCCGCCTGCACGGCTCCGCCCCGCCTCCAGCGCCGGCTGCGAGGGGCGGGGCGGGGCGGGGCGGAGCGGCACGGCGGCCCCCCGGCGGTCGCAGCGGGCACGGCAGGCGGGCGGGCGGCGCTGCAGGGCCCGGATGTGTGCGGGGCAGCGCCGAGCGGTGGGCGGGAACGTGGCGGGAACGGGCGCGCTGTGAGGGGCGCTGCTGGGCGTCGCCGTCCCGCTGCCTCTCAGCGGCAGTGCTGCTGCTGCCACGGAGCTCCCGGACCGCCGGGATGCGCTGGAAAGCTCTATTTCCCTTTAGTCGTCCCACTCAGGGGTGTAAATGATGTAAAACTAGAGACGGATCCCGATGGAAGAGCTAAACGTCAGACGGAACGTGCTTCTGCAGACAGCGAGAGCAGAGGAAGCAGCCAAAATGCACTCAGAGCTGTAGCATGAGGAGTCACATAAGGGAAGCAACGCTTTCCAGGCTCCAGCTTTAATGCTGAACGTGTATGTGTTCAGTGTGATATTCATCCTCACCTTGTCGTGCTTGACGAGCGCCTCCCATTAGCGCTGTGTCGGCAGGGAATCCCAGTCAAGGATCTGCAGCTGTGTGGAGAGTCTGAGCTTCACAAAGGGGCTGGCTGTGCTTCATTGACACCGCAGAAGTAAATGCAGATGCAAATAATGGAAGCACGTCTAAGAAGGAAGACTGTATTAGGCTGGGTTCCAGAACAAAAAAAAAAAAAAAAAAAGGAAAAAAGACTTAGTTTTACTGGGGCCCCGAGGGGACATTGTGGAAACTTTATTGTCCAATACATTTTAAAGTAGCCTGAATTAAAGGTCTAACAAGATCAGTTGCAGAGGTCAATTGTGGACGGGATAAGCCCATAAACAAGTTCAAACTCCAGCACTCAGTAACACTTCATATAGAAATATGTAAGCCAACTTTTACGAGCCTCTTTGCTGAGCCAAAGAACATGAGCTGTTTGGGGTTATTGTCTCAGTTCATATGGACAGTGTGGGAAATACGAAAGAAAATAACAATTATTTCAGGATTGAGACATTGAAAGGATTCTACCAAGTAAAGCCTTTGTCATGCAGTACATTCTGTTATTCTCCTGCTGCAAGGTTAATAATACACTTCTGTCCCCAAATGTGTCGTACCTTGAAGGAACAAAGCAGTAGGCAGTTGCCATCTAAACCTGCCCTCATTAAGGGCAGCAGAGTCCTAATCAAAGCAATAGAACTGATTTTCCCTGTCATTCTATCTATAGTAAAGAAGTTTGACTTGCTTTCTACTAAGAGCAGCTGCAAACAGTGAGCCACAGACCAGCCTTCCTTGGGCACAGCAGTTATTAATCCTCCAGAAATTGCAGGTATTTATAGAATTACACCATTCAAGCAGCCTTGCATATTCCACCATACTTAGTATGTAAAAGCATTATGCATTCCCTGTTTCAATGAATATTATCTAACTTATTTGGAAAAAAAAAACAAAGCAATTGTTCTATTTTCTTTTCAGTGTTTCTACAGTTTTGGAGTAGAATTCACTGTTACAGTGTTTGTAATACTGTCATTTCCAAATATTAACAGAATTAACTTCTGTTAACAAGGAGTTTATTTTTCTATGCTTGCAAGCATTTTAATGGAACAATTCTGTACAAGCCAACAGCTCTATAGGTCATTCACACCAGGTGGGGAGCCATGGATTCTTGGGAGATGCTCTAGCAACATTGCTCTGTTGGACTCACAGTTTCCAATTGCATTTTGTAAGCTGTAAGCTATCAGAGGTTCAGTAAAACCTGGGAAGAGAATCCAGCAACCATGAAGAAGCCCCAACCTGCAGAACCATGTGCCATCTCTCTGTGCAGCACCATGCAGAGATGGTTACAGGGCTGGTCAGAAGCAGTCAGTAGGTTCAGGCAGCTGTTGCTCCTGTAATACCTGAGCAGGTAGCAGACAGCCAAGCTACTTCTCAGGTGCAGTGGCTTCTTTAGGAACTGATGCTTTCCATTCTATACCACTCCACATAGAGATTATTCTTACAAAGCACTGCATAAGGGTTTATGTTTAGCTACAAATAATTTAGACTGAATTGCAGCAAACTAGACATCTGAAGTGATTTAGAAGCCTAGATTTTATTTTTTTTTAATAAATTCACCCTCAAGTCAAACTAACTCAAGTCACACAGGACAATTCACATTGCAATTCAACCTCTGATGCAGTGCATATTAACAAAGTGCATTTCCTTTAACAGAATTTAGATTGCAAATAAGTAGTCATTTACCTTAGCTAAGCTATTGGCATTTCAATGGGGGCTACATGGGATGAAAATCATTTGACAATGCAATTGTGCTGCAGAAAGTGAGAAAAAAAAAATCAGATATTTCATGTCACTGCTGCTTTTATTTAATTCTGAAGAATATATGGAGACATTAACATCACAAGTATTTGCTTCAGCTTACACTATTTTAAGAAAAAGGAACTGACCAATTAGGTTGGAAGTGTTTTATTACTTCTTTGAATCCTTTAGCTGTGATAAAATGTCAAAAGCACCAGTCAAGACAGAAATAAATAACACGTTCTCATGTTAGAAAGTTGCAAATACAGTATATTAAATTATAGCAATATGCTGCTTCACACCAACTGATGTAGCCAGCACACTAGGGAGACAGTAGTTTTACTCACGATCATTGAAAAGATCTATTACCAGAACAGGGGGACTGCACACCCAACTAAAAGCATACTTTCACTGATCTACTGTGTGAATTTCAACAAGGGCTTGAACTGGCAGCTTTGGAAGTTCAACATCCCGTTTGTCTGGAGGTAACACAGTGGTACAAATCTCTCCGCAATAAGCCACAGCTGACATGTTTTTGTAGTCTTTTCTTTCAGGTCTGTTCCTGCATCGAGTCTGTTTAAACCCACATCTTAGGACCTCCTCAGTACATTGTAAACACAAGTTCAGAGCAGGTGCAACATTAAAATCATAGCACATATTACAAAACTGCACTTCAGGGCATTTGAGCAGAACACCTCTGCAAGTTTATGGGGAGCATTGCATCAGTCAGAAATGGAGGAAATTAAGTTACAGTCTTTGGGGGAAAAGTCCATACAGAAGAGCCATATTAAAAATATTAAGGCAAGGCCTCTACAATTGCACACTACTTCAGACCTGGATTGAAATATGAATCCTCTATTACATAGATGTTTCTCTAATTCATCTCTTATGGCCTACAGCAAAGTTTTCCATTGCAAGAATTTTTTTTAAAAAATAAACAGGTAATTTTCCACTGAAGGCCTTCTAGGACACATCACTTGCATGGCATCATGGTCAGTAGGAGAACCAAAACGCACCCTTTCCTAGGCAGGCATTTGAAAAAAATAGCTATGGGAAAATGGATCTAATACATATTGCAGTAAAGTTACATAGATAAGACCACATGTGGACAGAAGCACTGTAAAACAAACAGCTTAGAAAACAGCTAAGAGCCAAGAGCCCCCACAGCAGGTCACACTGTGTAGAAAGCCAAAAGGGAAATCTCTATTTTTCAGATTTAACTTCTTCACCGCTTTGATGTACTGGCAGTACTTTTTTTTTTTTTTTTTTTTTAAGGACATAAATATGCATGATCTTTCTGGTAAAAAGAAAAAAAAATGTTCTCATGATTGCTCAAGCTCAAAAAAAATTTAATTAGTTAAATGTGTTAAATTACACCAGTGATTAAATCTTGTTAGTTACAGGATCATATACTATTTTGATTCTTAGTAATGATGCAATATCTAAATTAAGATCACAGGGATGGAATTAGGCTCTGCCTGTTAAAAACTATCTTATTCATCTCCATTTCCTCTGAATTTTCGAGTCTGAAGAAATGAAGTCAGACACTTTCGTGCCTTGTGCCTCAGCTCTAGTCCTATGACTCAGGAACATGGTTTAAATTTGAAGCCTTAAAAACTGTGGCAGTACAGAAGACAACATATTCTTTCTCACTGTAACAAACTAATTACAGAACTCACTAATAAATTACAGTTCTGTAGTTATTTAAGCAACGTGTTTCCAAACACCGCTGGACAAGGAACCAAATGATTCGAGAGCATCAAATTTCCTGATGTTCTCCGTCTACTCTTTATCAACACCTCACCAATCACCAAACTTGAACTTTGAGGAATCCTACAGAAGCATTGCACAGACTTTGTACCACGAGGGCGTATACATTCAAAGGCAGCTTTCTTGAGTGCAGGTCCATCCATTCACATTGGGGAAAAAAGTTCACGTAAACTCCAAAAATAAGAAAATTAAGTGAAACCTAGTGTGACTTTACACCAATAAGAACAACAATGAGGACAATTACTATAACAAACAAAATTAGAATAACAAGCATCTTCCGATTCTTCTTTTGATATTGCTCTGCCTGTAGAAACAGAAAAGAAAGAGTTAATGCCTTAATCTATGCAAAGATGCAAGTACAGACTCTTCAGTATACTGAAGACATGTACCTCGATTTCTCTTTGCTAACTTGGCTTTTCGTACACTGAATATTGCAAGCAATTCCCACAAAGTAACTCCAGCCTGCACCAAAGACTGCAGTGAAAGAAAGCGCAGACTGAAGTCATATTTATCCACATTAAATATGAAACACTACAGAAAAGAACGCATCCTCCTGTTGGTTATGCAACCTTACTGTGACTTTTCTGCAGTCCTTGAGAAGGCATGATGCCTGCACAGGACATGAGCTGTATAGAACAACAATTGATCTGAAGTGGAATTGAGCTATGTGGATGGTGGAAATAAAAATCAAGGCACTGGGTGTGTGGAAGTCCAAATGGAAAAAGTTGGTAAGATATTTTTAACTCACTGTGCTGAAATAGCATTTCTGTATCATATTTGCATGACACTAAAATTCACACAAAGTTCATTTTTAAATAGGCATTTTTATTGTACCTGATTCAGCTGTGCATTTTACTTTCAATTAGAACTGAAAGCTTTCATTTTGTTTTGGTTCACTCCTTCTTTCCTCTAATCCCCTTTTCTCATCCCTCCCCTCTTTTTCCCAGGGAATAAAAATGTAGAGAAAACTATCCAAAAGCCAAATGAAACTCTAACAAAAACTAAACTAAACAAAACTTGCATTTAGTTCTTTTGAAATTCATAAGCACTGAGTTTTTTAAAAGGAAAAATATTAATTCTTCTCTTTTATAGTCTCTGAATAATCATTTTTTTTTTTTTATCATTGAGATAACTAGATATGCAAACAGCCTATATTTTACCAGCTTACCTTGTGTAGTTGTTTTAAACCCTCTTCAGTTTTAATACACGACTGTTCCACATTGTAGTCAATTCTATCTAGAACTGTTCCCTAAATGAAACAGAGAGAAGGATCAAACTGAACCTAAATAAACTTAGAAAAGACTGTGGTTATGAGCAACAGAGTAATAATGTTTACAGTAAACAGCTCATTAGAAGATCTAGTTGGACTATCTTGAAATGACCTTCTTGGCTTATTGCCTAACTGGCAGCTCTGTCACTATCTCATCTCACAGCCTTATCTCACAGCCTTTAGTAACTGCTATGACCCAGGTCAGGTACTTTTGGCTGACATATTAAACCTAAACTTTCTGGGAGAAATAATCAACGGAATCTGGAATTCTACATTTTTTTTTCTAGTTTAATACCCATGAAGGGTTATTTTCTTTCATTAGTTCATCTTCTTGCAGATTACAAGCAGAGGATACCTTAGCCTGAACCAATTAGTTTAGCAAAGTAAAAACATGATATTACAACATGAAAACACTGTAATACAACATGAGGAGTCTGTAAACCTTAACGCTACATGCATTCTCTCATATCACTGACACTGTGATGCTGATGTACCTGTTCTACTATCATTGCTCCCAGGTCCCTAAATATTTCATTGAGATCAGAGATTGACTGTACAATCTGACGGATTTCTCGTTCCCGCTCTTCCACCAGCAATGTGTTTTGCTCCACCAATGCTAGCTGGTCATCTGTAAAACCCTGTTGAAATAAAAGATTTAATTGCTGTTTATGTGTTCTAGAGTAAAAACGTTAGCAATAATTATAGCAATTGTAAGATTTCACAACATAAAGTTCCTTAGTAGAAAGTTCCTTGAGTAGAAAACTACTCAAGAAAAATCTTACTGTACATTACAAACAGAATTTTAGGGTCACTAAAATAACTTGGTAACTTAAGAAGCTTCTTTAAATTGAATTTAACATCTTAACTTACTCTGTCATAAAGTGTATCATCCTCCCCATCATCCATCAGTGGGACTGAGGTGTCAAAGAAGTGTTTGGATCTTTCTTCTCTACTCTTCATGCCTGTGAAAGACAAACTATGTTGGAGCACAATGGACTCACACTGAAGTCACTCAGATTTTCTATCACCTTTCAAAAGCTGTAGGTAGGAGAGTATGTTCCAACAGCTTTTGGAGGAAACGTGACACATATGAGAGAGAAAGAATGAGGTCTGAAGCAATAGGTAGGAAAGCATAAGAAAATCTCTGATAAATGACAGTGTCTAATTAATAACTGTCACATAAGCTTACTGCTTAGAGTGTAACAAATGCAACCATGCTTACAAGACAGATTAACACAGTGATTTTAAGTCATTATGTTCCATGAAGTTAAAGAGTTAAGTAAGCTGAGAGTCTTAAGGTACGATTACTCTGTATTCTGTGTGAACAGAACCTTCTGACCCTCATTCCACCTCTACCATTTATATCACAAGAAGAAACTGCAGTACTACATCTGAAGATCAGTTATTACGTATGAAGTTGAAATTACTTTGCCAAAAAACAACTGAATATTAGACTGAATATAAGAATAATCAATTTCCAAGCTGTTTAAGGTTGCGGAACTTTATCACAGATCCTTCTAAAGTTTCATCTATCACAAACTACTGATCAACTACTAAATAAGCAGGTATCATTCTGAAAAACAACAGCTGCCCCACCAGCACAACAGAAGTAGCTGGGCAGATCACAATTTGAGAAGTAATAATGTGTTGAGTGTAAATGGCTGAAATGCACTCCTTTCATTGATAAATCTAACTGGTATTTTTGCTTTAGCAATATGAAATAGAGAGGCTGTGAAGCAGAAATTGCTGAATTCTGATCTCCACTCTATTATACCTTTTGTGGTCCTGGGAATATCACTTAACTTCTCTATACTTCCCTAAACAGGAAAATAAGCACACCTTAATTAGTGCTCTCCACAAACAGAGCCCATGCATTCATTACTGTATCTTTGATGCTTACGTTTGAGATAGTCAGACTGTGCATGCCTGAAGTTGGTGGATAGCTCCTGAAGGGACTGCGCTAAGGAAGACACTACATTCCTGAGAACACGTGCTTCTTGTTCTGTACAAGTTCGTGACCTGCTCTGCAAGACCTGGACTGCTCTCTGACATCTGTGAAATAACTGAGAAAACAATTCAGTTAGTTAAAAACATACAGCAACTCACGCTTTAAATATCAATTGAATTTATTATTGCCCAGTGCTATGTTTAAAAGGACACAGAAATACAGAATACAGATGAGAAACATAAATCTAACAGTAATCTAGCACAGTAACACAGGTACTTCTGATCAAAGACATTTGCTTCCTTGTAACTGCTTGGACTGAAAGCCATCAAATGTCTTTGTGTGTTTCTGTGAGGTAGCTGTAAACATGATTTAATTAAATCTCCCATCCATTCCAAGATAGAAAAGGAAACAGGTAAGTAAAAACTGCGGGGGTGGGAGTGTTAAGTCACTCACTCAGAGCTCACTGAGATGGTCAGCACAGAACCAAGCTAAGAGCCCAGGACTTCTGGCTCACTGACTTGGAGTAGAAATGTTTTACTCCAAGGAAACCACTGCCTCACCATGATATCTGTCACAGACACATCGATCTGTAGGTTCAGAATTGAAAGTACTCTGTACCTGTGTGATCTCTTGGGTTGTTATTTCTATTGCACGTTCTTCTTCACTGCTGTCATCTAGTGTTGGTCTGTTCAGATGTTTATCATGAAGACTGGCTAATTCTTTCATCTTCTGTTTCACCCTGGCAATATCATACTGAATCTAAAACAGCAAACACAACAGCAGGGAAAGGAAAGTGAGTAATGTTTCAGAGGAAAAGCTTCTGACAAATGCTAGGCAAAAATATAGAAAGTAATCTCATAACAAAAAACAGACCAAAGATCATCAGAAAAAAACAAAAACCCACAAAAAGATCATTTCTTACTGACTGAAAACTTATCTGAATTCATCATTTTTAAACCTCCACTTATTAAGATAAAACAAGACTGCTCTTCTCAAATAAGCTTTACTGAGTTGCAATACTATATTATCACTATATAATATAGTAAGAAAAGTTTAGCCAACTTCTGAAAATGTAAATAAAAATTCAGGTCACACCTTCAAACTCTGTCAAATATGCCACAGACTGAACTTAGTAAAGCTAAATGACATGCTCTGAAACTAGCCATGAAAATAGATCTGTAAGAATGATTACTGTCCTAGTAAAACTGATCACCTTTCTGCACACAAAAACCAATGAAATCATGTTCTGAGAGGACAATTTAAATGGGCTTTCCATAAGTAAAGTAGGAACCTCGCACTCCAAATACTGGAGAAGATTTTAATTGGATGTCTCCAGAACAATTCCCTCACATTTGTCCAAATAGTTAAAGAATTTGCAGCTCATCTGTACCTCACAAGTGGGAGAGTTTCTGCTAGAAGACACTAAAGCTTCTTCTTTCAAAGTAGTAAGCTGCTATTCAACTGGATCCCTCAGTGGGTTCAAACAAAGCCTATAGAAAGCATTCCATCTTTTGTCCTCTCCCTTCAAAGTCTCCACCTGAGAAGAATTTTGCTGTGCTGAGAGTTTTAGGACCCTTCCCGCAGCCTCAAGTCAAAATGGTCAGTGATACATTATCTATCCTAGTGGTTCAAGTGTAGTATAAGCATGGGGTTCTCAGTGATGATATCAGTTCAGTTTCCAGGAATTTCTGCTCCAAGACAATCTCCTTCATTGCACTTGCAATACATTGTTCAAGGAAATAAATGACATCTTGCCTGATATTTTCTCTGAACAGGGGTGGCAGAAGTTAGAAAAAACACAAATCTTCTAATACTACTTCTATCATAAAACTTATGGCATTGGCAACATAACTAACAACAGGAATACATTTCTACATGAAAAAAACTCAGTGTTGGGTTTGCATACAACTTACTTCATCTGCTCCATCAACCCACTTGGGAGGTAAGCGTTTTGTTACACCAATTGCTGCTTCGGGATCTAAACTTATTCCTGACACCAGGGCCATACGATCATCAGCAAGCTGCAGAAGATAAAAGAAATATTCTTAGAAGGAGATAGCAAATCAGCATTACTCAAATTAGATGTCAGTTCTTGAGGAGAAGTGCTTGTGTGCCGCCTTCTACCATAAAAAGGAACTTCAAGCATGTGTTTGCATGTGATGCAGGTATAAATTATTGAAGACAGGCACACCGCTGTACAGCAGCACTGTAGCAGTTGCAGAGGGTATGCTGTACTTGGAGACTATTTTGGGGATAAGAATCCATTTTGTAGGTTGAAGTATTAAAAGGTTATGAATGAAACTGGGAGGCAGTATCAGTTTTTTCAGTTTGTCAGTTGAAGCCAGCTTTGTAATTCCAAAGGTAAGATAACTTCATCTACTACAGACAGAAAAAAGTGGCAACAAATGATACTACTTAGAACATATCTAATTACTGCACTGCCCATTCTTCCACATTTCTTATTTTCTTCCATCAGGCCCAGAAATCTTTGTGGCTCTCCACCTCCTTTATAAACCAATCCTTCCTCCTTCCTGAACAATTGTTTCCTGAAAGCCTGTTCTTTATCTCCGACATTGTTTCCTGACCAGAGTTTATATAATTCATGCATAGCATAAAATATTGTGAATAGCTTCACTGTATCCCCCCATGGATACAAAAAGTAAAACTAGATGATATGTATATACACATAAATGTGGTACTGTAATTTCACAAAATGCCTGTCTCCTTTTGGCAGCCTTCTCAGACTGTACACAAGTACATCTCCTCCTAAGGAATGAAATGGAATAAGATAGCATTGTAAAGAAAGGAACATTTTTGCTCAGTGATGTGTGCTTGATGCAGTGTGACAAAATAAGATGTGATAAACAATACCTCATCCAGCTCCTGAAGTGATTTGTGGATCCCATCAGCCCCGTCCAGTTAGAGACAGCAAAAGGTAAAAGGGAAAAAAGACAGAGGACACACACAGGGTATGGTCAGTTGGGAAAATACTAGTAGCTTGGTATCATTGTTTTAAATACATAATTGTTTACAACAAATAAAACAAATGGACTTTTAAAACAACACTATTCAATAACAAGTACAACATCATGATATATTTGAGACAGCCTTTTGCCTGGAACACAAGCTTTTCAGGTTAAAAACTGGTTTGCAAAAATTTCTGAGTGAAAACACTGAAATATATTCAAACATGACAGTGAGAGCAATTTTACTGCAGTGTTTAACATCTATAGGTGAGTTAAAGGCTTTACTAATTGGAGAATTACAGTTCTTCAAACAAAGTTTACAAACCATACAAACTTTCTAAGACATTTATTGATAAGCACCTCAGTTACTGCAGGATAAAACAGACAGCAAATGGCGAAAAGCAAAAGCAAGTGCAGCATATGCTCCCACGTGCAAACACTTCAATTTCAGGTAGCATCAGTATACATATGTGTGTGAAACCCCTTGGTTGGCATCTGCAACACATCTGCAGCTCTGCAGATCATCACTCCTTGTGCTGCTGGGATGTGTTAGCACGTGAGATCTAAGACAAGGACAGCATACTTGAGGTTTGCTTAAGCAGCGAGCTTCAATTAATGATCTCTGTTACCCCGCACTCAGCTTCTCAAGTACAGCTGTACAGTTAGGGATGCTACTTCAGTTAGCCTTGCTTAAGGAGCGGTTGACTGTCAGTGTGACAGAAAGCTGCTTCTGACACAGTGCCCTCATAATGAAGTATTTCTTCAGGAGAAGCTTGGAGTGCAAACTAAGATCAGTCCAAGCACTATGAGCTACAGACTGCAACACGGCCCTGCTGGCGTGCAGCAATCCTGCTCTGGGGACAGCGCCCAAAAGAAAAAGTAATTAGCTATTAGCTATAGTGATAAGCACCTCAGAAACACGAAAGTGAAGAGCTCACACTGACATCTTCACCCTGCTCACCATGTTTACAGGAAGCAGCAACTATGGAACTTGGAAGTGCGCACAGTTGAGCCACTGATCAACCCCACCAGCTGCTCAAGCCAGGACCAATCCCCAGCCACTTGGCTTTGGGAGCATTGGAACGAGCATCACAAAATGCTTTGGTTCATGTTAACAAACATGAGAAATAAACATTTCATGCAAATGCTTACTGTGCTCACTGCAGTTCCACTGCTCAGCAGCCTGCATGCAGTGCAGCTCTCGTTTTCTATTAACATTTATAAAACTCCAATGATCAAAGATGCTATTGATATTGGCAAAATAATTGTTAACAAGAATCAAATGCAGTGTCAAATTAAACACCGCAATACTCATCGTTATTGACGCTGCCTGGTCTGTAAATAAATTCAATACACACCTTGTATAGATACAGGTGTAATTAAATGGACAGTGAACGAAGACTGCTCAATGCCAACTCATCAGCTGAAATGAATGCACGAAGCATTGCTTTTCCCCTAACCAAAAATGCATGAATGCAAAGCAAGTCAAGGAGATGAGACTGCTGGCAGATATTTACTGGAAGCTGTTCCAAACAAATGATATATTTGAAGAAGCAGCTTAAGACCTCGGAAAGCCGAGCTGTCCAGCAGCATCAGTGCTATAATCAAAAGTTTTAAGCACCGTTCAAATTTCCCCCAGGAAACTGCTTTGGTAGATGCCTGTTTGGGGAAGAGTTATTCTGAAAATTCTAGTCTTCCATGTTTATGTCTCCCACTGCATCATGACCAGTTCAAAACATGCAAAAAGCCACAGGAAGGGCCACAGAGCGATGGCTTTTTGAAGGCATCGCACCAGCACCTCCCGGCCACCACACACACGGCCTCACAGCTTTCCTTACATCGAGGGGAAAGGTGTCGGGAGTGAGGAGACACTACGGACACACCGAATAACCCACAGCACTGCATTTAACAGCGCCCACACGGAGGCGAATAGAAGAGTTCCTCTCCACGGAATAAGTTCGGCTTTTGTCACAGGGAAAGCATAAGAGAATCAGTGGGCAGTGACCTCCCGTGAAGGCCAACGGCGCTTTGGGCGCAGCGCTCGCGGAGGGACCCGCAGGGATCGGCACGGAGCTCTTCTGTTCACCCTACGCGCGGGGAAGGGCGGGCGGGGGGGCGCGGCGCAGCGGGCACGGCGCGGCCGCGGGCAGCCCTCGGCGCAGCAAGGTACATAGGATGAAGGGAGGAGACTCACCGCAGCAGCCATGCTACGTGAATTCAGAGGGCTGGAGGAGCCGTAACTACTCACTTGCTCGGCCAGCAGCTGCCGGCTCTGCACCGCGTTGTTCCGCAACAACAAGAACGCGTCGGTTAGACGCCGGGTGGCCATGGCCGCCCGCCCGGGGGACCCCCGCCCCGGGGCCGCTCAGCGCCAGTCCGCCGGGCGCGGGGCCCTAGCTGAGCCCGGGGCCTGCGGGCAGAGGCCCGCTCAGAGAGCGCGGGCAGAGCCCCCCGGCGCCGGCCGGCCCCCGGCCCCCTGCATCCCCCCGGATCCGTCGGCGGCCCCGGCCGCGGCCCGGCTCACTTCCGCGTGGTGCATCGCTCCGTCCTTCCGCCGCCCCGCCCGGGCCCGCAGCCGCGCACCAACGTTCCGCCCCTCCGCCGGGCCCGTGGCTGGGGGCGGGGTGGCAGAGAGCGCCGCGAGCAGCGCGGGCGGCTGCCAAAGGCCCTCAGGGCGGAGCGACCCGCGGCTCCCGGCCCTGAGGAGGCGGTGGGGGGGCAGCGGAGCTCTGTGGTGGCTGCCGCTGCTGTGACCGAGGGCGGGCGTGGCGGCCTGCGGGCCCCATGCCGGATTCAGGGCACCAACCTGCCCGGCCCTGCCCCGCCCCGACGGCCGCGCTGATAGAAACGCCAACAGCACTCTTCCCCGTTAATTTCTTCTGTGCTTTTGTTTCTCACTGCTGTGAAGTACCCTAAGCAGGCACGGTTTGGGTTCAAAATAAAACACTGTAGAATGACCATTTTGATTTCACTGCTTCTCTTTTCTCATTTTTCTTCTCTGAATCCCCACCACTGCCCAAAATTTGCTTTGCTTTCAGTTAATTTTCCACTAAAAAAGCAACTACAAAACACCCCATCTTACACAAGTCTTTCTGTCAACTCCGACCATCCAAAAATCAGAACATCCCCCCAGATGGACAGCCCATTTTCAAGGACAGCTTTGGGTCTGACTTTCTGAAAACGCTTTCCGACAAGGCTGACCAAAATGATTTATTTTATTTAATTTTTTTCCCACTGCTTTTTGCTCCTCAGTGCTATCAGCTCCACGGCTGCATGTTGGAATCATAGAATCATTAAGGTTGGAAAAGTCCATAAAGGACGTTGCATTCAACCACCAGCACACCCCGCCATGCCCTGACCACGTCCCTCAGTTCCACGTCTCCGCAGTATTTGAACGTCTCCAGGGATGGTGACCAACAGCTTCAATTTTCACCCAAATAAAACAAGAATTACTATTTCCACATATGGAAGGAGCAGAGGCTGTAATTACAACCCCATTTTCTGGAAATGTTGCCCCATTTTATTGAGCCACTTGGGCAGACTTGTGCAGTGAGAAACAGTAGGAGGGATCTCTTTGCTGCCATAAGGAGTCTGGGGAGTTTTCTCAAGCAGACCTTCTGCTCAGCGGGAGAGACCCAAAACTTGGAACTTAGCAAGGAAATAAGCTCCAGCCTTATGAGGATCACCACACGCATTTCATTTTTCGTGGTCTGGTGAAATGTGTTTTCACTTTGGCTGCCTTACAGAGGCTTTAAAAATACATGTATACGCTTCATTTCTTCATGCTAATTTTTAATCTACTGTAACAATTTTTTATTCTGAGAACAGTTTCAGTTAACAATCCTCCAGCCCTCTCTTGGCATTGCTGCCGTGGCTGTAAGTGGAGTGGAATTTCACATGCACCCAGAGATCTCTTAGTTCTAGATGCGTACACAGAGAAAGCTGGTTGGGATCTCTCACTTGGAGGGATGGCAATGTGAACCCCATGGGAAGCCTTCTGCCCCTAATGGGCTGGAAGTCGAGTCACAGTGGCCATTTACATCTTTTAGTTGTTTTCTGACAGCTTTCTGAGCTTTGAATGTTGGGCAGGCTGTGAACTGAAGCAAAAGATATAAAAAGCATTTGGGACTGATACACAGTGGGATAAAACTCTGTAAGGAAGCAGTCCAGAGCTAACTCAGTGAATAACCACTTCAAAGTGTACATTAGGAAAAAGCAAAGGGACTGGAAGGAATGGAAAAAAAGGATTAACCAAAGAAAACTACATCTTAGAAGCTAGGAAGTGTAGGCATAAAGGGAAATCTGCCAGAAGCAAAGCCGAGTTAAACCTCGCAAAGGAAATTAAAACAAATAGCAAAATGTTCTTCAGGCATACAGACCAGGAATTGAAGTAGAGAAGAAACAGAGGTGATGACAGAGGGAGAGGCAGGACACAGATGAATATATAATATATAGTGGAAATGTACACAGAGGAAATGAATGCATGGAGATAGGAATTATCTCATGCAAGTGGAACAAAACATAAAGATCATAATGGGACGATAATTTCTGACCCAGACACCTAACAGGACTCGCCTGTCAAGAATATATCTGGCTACATAACAGCATCACTGCAGGAGCAGCGGAACACAATGTGAGAGCAGGAAAAATTGTTCCAGAATTTAAATAGGGGAAAAATGATTCAAGCCTGATCCCACAAACATACAGGACTTTGGGATAAAGTTAGCAGGAAAGAATAATACAAGACATGATGACAGATAGAAAAGAGTTGAAATATGAGATGCATTTACTGAAGCTGGGTAGTGTCAGACTAACCTGATTGGCTCTATAATTAGTTTTCTAGACAGAGAAAAGCTGGTAGGTCTAACCTCTCTGATGATGAATAAATGTAGACTAGAAATTAGAAGATATTTAACCATCAGAGGACTGAGGTCACTCTACATCTTTCCTGCATGCAAGGCAAGGGCAAACCACTGCATTATAAAGTTGTACTCAAACCATTCATAAAACTGATCGTATTTTCTCTTCCTAAGACAGCACCTATCTCTAAATATATCTTTCCAAGCATAAATTACTAATATTTCGGTTTGTTGCTTCTTAGTGCTAGAATTCACTGCCATACATTTACTGCTGTCCGGAGTGCTGCCTCTTTCTTTGACCTCTGAACTGCTTTTTTAATGCCTGTTCTGCAGTTCTTAATGAGCAATGAGATAGCAATGCTGCATGCATGCACACATTCCTGCACCCACCGCCTCCCACATCCAGGGCCTAATCCAAAATGGTGGGAACTTTCTGTTTGCTACTGTAGCATTTGGATCAAGCTTCCAAAGGAAGGCAGAAATACTCCAGATTTCAAAGTTCTATTTTGGAGTGGATAACTAAGCATTTCTTTTTAATGGGAAGATAATCAGAGCCATATTTCAAAAGGCAGCTTTTGAACTATGATTACAAACTCCTTCCTCTCCATCCAGTTCCCGGCAGAAGGATCTCTGTATTCCCACTCTTCAGCTACTGAGACTAAATCAAGGGCAAACAGGCCCTGTGCTTCATTGGTCAGATGAAGGTCAACCCCCACGACATTTTATCTTGTGTAATTGAGTAGATACATGGAGGAGGTGAAATACTGCAGTCCTTGGAAGCCTGAACAATAGGCTTGTGCCAAAGGTAGGATTAATGGACCATTAAATGTATTTTGCCATGGCAAATCCCACCATCCTTGTACAGCTGGGACACTTGGCTGCCAGAAAATTTCTACAGGAAAGTTTCTATATTACAAATTGGCAAAGCAGCTGGGTTAGCTCTGTCATCGCTAGAGATGCTTTTTCTGCACGGGAATTGAGGAACTCCTGGCAAAATGGACAACATTATTGCCTCTATCCTGTAGCAGAATATTTGCAGGTTTCAAAGCTGTCAAACTCGCAGTTTCTAGAGTGTCACAGCAACAAGATTTGTTTTGCCGGTGAGTTGGGAGTCCCTGAGTTTTGGCAAAGGATGTGATTCTGACGGCCTCTCTGTAGGTGGTGCTACAAGGCAGTGAGATGAAAGAACTGTTTGAGATATTTTTAAATTTCGGTCCCTTGGTTTCTTACCAGCTCCTGCTAGTTGAACTTTCCTAAAGAAAATCAGACATAGTTTCCTATAATTTCTTTATTTTGCTGTCCTATAATCTAAATGCACCCAGTAGAAATACAACAGAGGAGAACTGCTATTTTCTCCACATTCAGGCTGTTCACATTTTGTACTCCTCCTGGAAATGTACAGTTGAACAAACTGTCTTTTCACATTGATCTAACTTGACTTGAAAATTTAACAATAGAAAGAAGGATATAAGGAATTGGAGAGGATCTGAAAAAGAGTAACTAGGGGGGCCATTCAGAGACCTTAAGTAATGAATGTTTAATTATAAGGGGAAGGAAATTTATGTCTCTAAGTGAGTTCTGTCCTTTGCCATACACTGAAATGTTTCCTCGAGTTCAGCTGCTCATCTGCACATGCAAAAATGGTAGAAAGGATTCTGCAGAGGTACCAGAACTAAACCCCTGCTACTAAAAGTAATCAGTCCAGGTGGGGTCTGCTTCAGTCTGGGTAGTCAGATTGCTGTGTCTGTTTGGAGGAAATTTGTCTTCAAAATTCAGCAGCAAAAATTACTGCTTGCAGGCAGCAATATCCCATATGTAATAATACAGGGAACCTTGTTCAAAGGCAGGTGTGAGAGTTACAGCCTACAAGCTGCTACCCCAGTCTTGTGACAGGCCAATAATGCCTGTGGTACTTATATAATGGAACAACTCTGTCATCTAATATTGTGCAAAATTCCTTTCCTTGGTTGGGCACTGTATTAAATATTCTGTGTCACTACAGTGTCAGGCTACCTCTGTAACAAAGATAAAGGATTACTCTTTATAGGCATCTGTATTTTTGATTATCCTAATCATCTCTCCAGGAGTCACGTGAATATAATGTGTTTAAACTGATGTACCAAATGACAAAATTTATCACTGTCTCTTTCTTGTAAGATATATATCCAAACATTTTCAATCAAGGTGGCACTCCTAGGTGTCCTGGGAGAATGGTTTAGCTGAGCAAAAGTTTTGGGGTTGGATATATAGCAGTGGTTAGAGACAGAGACAGCAGCACGGAGGTGAGAGGTTTCTGTCCCCTAGCTGTTTGCTATTGACCACAGCAATTTGGGTGGTACATACGTTCTGCCAGTGCTTCCCATGGGCATTAGTGCAAGTCAGTGGCTTTACTCACTGCTGTAGCAGCTTGCCTGGAGAAGCAGAGGTGCTGAAGGTGGTTTGCTTGAGCCAGACTGCAACTCCAGCTTTGAGATTCTAACAGTGCCATGTCTGGAGTAAGAGAAGAGGGAAATGTATTGTTTCCATGTTGTGGCAGAAGCCCGTTGTGCTTCAAACATGTGCATACATAAATAAATTACAATCAAAATAAGTAGCAAGGGAAGTATTACTATTCATATTTTA